CAGTTCATCGGATCACACGCCCTTCAGACGGGGTCAAACGTCCAAGGTGTCTAATTGAGCCGTGGACCATTGCCACAACCGGGAGGGTGTGTGGTTCGTACACCTACTGTTGGTTGGTTTGTAATCAGGGTTTTCGGCCAACTCCTCTAAACGAACTACCAGTGATCCACCAACCCAGTTACTGCCCCCGGATGTCGGCTTTTCGTCCTTTCACTTTGGTGGAAAAACACCTGGTATGAGAAGGCATTATATAGGACTTCTTCATCAGAAGCTATTTGAGACGCTTGGTCGTATGAGAGCATTTCGCGAGGTGCAAGGGAAGTGTGACCGGTCGCAACTGTAGGCACCGACCCCTGACCCTACCTAGAATTTCGGAGGCGGATCTGGGTATCATTGTAATCAGTGGTTAAGTAAACTGTTTGATATGACTGATTGTCGTAAACAGCGGTGCTCATGTACCTAGTCAATTTTTTCACAACTTTAGGCCCTTGGAGTCCTCCATTTTTTCTTTGACTCTGCTATCAACTTTACTATCTTTCTTCCATTCCTTCAACCAAATGGGCAGCGTAAAAAAGCAACAGCAGCCGTCGCTTAATATATACATGTCTACCAATTTGCTCCCTTCGATGTGGAGTATTCAGACGACATTGTGCTGCTAAGCAAAGATTCATTTAAGTTGCAAGCTTTTCTGGATAGAATGAGTGCCAGTGTAGTGTATGCGTTACAAGACTGGGCTGCTCCACCACCCAGCCTTACTCTTACTTGGGAAGTATTAGAGCAAGTGGATAAGTTTTGTTATTTGGGCAGCTACACCTCACCCGGTAGAAGCCTCACGGATGAAGTATCAACTCGCAGACAGAAGGCTCCATTGGCATTTGCTAACTTGAGACATCTGTGTCACCATCGCGACATCCGGTTATCTGTGAAGGGTCGAGTGTATACCGCGGCTGTACGGCACACAAACTTGATCATTAAAGAGACAGGATAAAGAGAGAGAGACTGTCGGTGTTCGAACATCGCTGTCTACGCAGCATTGCACGAATCTGGTGGGGCAACCGAATGAGCAGTGCTGAGGTCAGGCGCGAACTTTTAGGTAATCGCGGTCGCCCACTGGAGCAAGTGGTCGACCTCCATAGATTACGTTGGTTGGGGCATGTGTTAAGCATGTCACCAGACAAGTTGCCATGGCGAGGCAGGTAGTGGGTGGAAAAAAGCCAAGGGTAGTCCACCCAAGACCTAGCACAAGGGTATGAAATCCCTAACCAGGGGACTGGCTCACATAGGTCCCGTTAGGCTTCCTGGCTGGGGACCTCGGGGTGATCGTAACTGATGGTTAGAGATACTGAGTGATATAGCTGAGTATCGTAAACAGTGGCGTTCCTTTATCTTCTCAATTTCTTCGTAACCTTAGACCACTGAAATTATCCATTTTATATTCGGCACATGGGCAGCCAAAAGACAGCAACCAAAACCGGTTCACGATGGTGCATGGTTGATGGTTGGACAAATTGAAATGAAACTGAAATTCAGCATGTGCTGAAGATCTGCGCGTGCGGTGCGGAACTTATCCAGAGCTAGTCGACGGGGACGTGTTTGGACAGGAATACCTGGAGTGCCGATTTGGTGTGCCACCTCTGTCGTGATATGCGGCAGCTCGATGCTGAGACGGACGAGGCTAGTAAACTCGCGGAATAAGGACCGTTATGGCGAATCAGTCAGTAAGTAGGAGATGTGTATTTTGACTTTCCGGCTATACCACGGAGCCGACGACTTCTCTAGAAGTGACCATGTCTCTATATTCTCGCTTACGAGGGTCCACGATTAAACCGTGTTGTTGTAAGAAGTCTAGGCCAAGTGTGGCGTAGGGAACCCGAGCAACCATGAAAACTCAAGGTAAGACGCGTCTTAATCCTAGTCC